CTGCAATAGATAAGTCACAGTGTATAACCATGTTTGACATGTTAATTGCGACAGGGGTCACTGTTTGAATCGACGATGGTAATAATAATACAAAATTTTAGATATTGACATTTCTTTTAAATTATATATATACCGGTGCGCCCAAATTGATAGGAATATATATATAATCGACGATGGTAATAATACAAAATTTTAGATATTGACATTTCTTTTAAATTATATATATTCCTATCAATTTGGGCGCGCCGGTCACCGGTGGCACCCATGGCGTCACCGCCAAGTTAAGTGCCGGTCACCGGTGACCCCCGTGGCATTCAACGTGTTAATCGGCAACAATACTTTAATACGTTACTATACCAGACAAATTTTCTTCGTTCGGGTCCTGTAACAAAAATTACTATCCTAGCGAACGACTACAGTGTCGCAATTGATCTTTTCGGCGTCTCTATTGTTAAATATCGAAATTAGAGATTATAATCACTGCGCTGATATCTTCAATTACGTGCTCTAATGGGCTTTCCCGTTTATAAGTATATAAATAAATAATAACCGTAGCCGCGGGTTTGGACGAGCCAATTATAATTCCAGACGAAACATGGGCATCTTCGAGACCGATCGAGCCGTTACTCGACTGCGCGTATATTTCTGGTTATTGATCAATTTGAAATAATAGGAGACACGTTCCCGTCTGTTTTCCGTACCCGTGTCATTGACCAATCTACAAGCCACCTGTATTCCCTATAAATGTTTTGTGTTCGTTCACGGTTACGCGGCGTACCGTTTCGTATACGACTTTCTATATGTCAGAGGTTTTTCATCGGTGGTTTACTACGCTGCTAGTAAACAGCCTTCGTGGCTGATATTCATGTTCGTGTTCGACCGAATCTCGACGGGCCTGGCAATTAGTCTTTCCAACTAGTCTGGGGCGTCACCTAGGAACAGCCTCGACTTGTATAATACCACTTAAAAATCGCTCAACAATTTCTGTATTCGTACACTCACGATGATTGCTAATGACCTTCGTTATTAATTTGGTATTGTCTTTCGGCGCTGAAAGTGTCGCATGACCAGACCCAACTCGGCGCCACCTTTGCATACACAGGATTACACAAAATCACAGGATTCGATTTTTTCAGCGCTTTGACCCCTTAACTTGTACGCTCGAGTTAATTCGAGCGCGCTAAACAGGCCAAACTGTGCACACTCGAGGTAATTCGAGCGGCGTTCTATTTTATGCTGCTATAATTTTTCACGCTTGAATATAATCGAGAATTGAATATAACGATGTGAATGCAAAGAAAAGAAATCGTTTTATCGATATTTATCATTTACATGGGATTGTAAGCTGTAACACTTATTTATTCAAGAATAAAATATAGCCTTTTCTCATGGAACAAAAGCGCGGTATATCAAAATTCTCCACCAAAAGAAAAGTTGAATCAGGGGCGGTAAATTGATCTTTTTTGGTCGTTTAAAAAAAAAAAAAACAGTGCGTTAAGAGGTTATGACTCTCGATTTAGATTGACGTAGCTATCAACACTCGCACGACGATTAAAACTATCTTGATGTTGCTCGCAAGACGACCGGCAAATGTCGGCGGAACTTGAAGGTGTTAACCCTTTGCACTCGAAACGATTTCAACTGTAAATCTAAATTAACTTTTCTGACCTATATATATATAAAATATAATATATATATATATATATATATATATATATATATATATATATATATATATATATATAATATATATAAAATATAATATATATATAAAATATAATATATATAAAATATAATATATATAAAATATAATATATATAAAATATAATATATATAAAATATAATATATAGTATTTCCATTTGACGTGACAAAGTGCATTTCACGCGTATGAAATTGAGTCTTGTGACTCTTATACGGCAGTTAGACTCTTAACAACATTTTATATCCAAGCTTTGATAGTGAAAAAATGATCTTGGAACGCGATGTGACAATTTTTCAATGGTGCCTCGGAGTCGCCGCTCGAGCGCGAAGGGTTAAAATGAAAATGGTTCGGCAACAGTAACAGAACGCGGAGAGAATTGGAGAATTAGGAGGCGCGTATGGCTGGCGTTGGCTAGGGGAATGGGCGTGCACAGAACCGGCGGACCTCCTCGATGGAACCTATTAGTCATTACTTCCTGCTGCGAGAAATGCTGTCGGGCAAACCGATGAATCACGAGGCTATAAACAGATCTTCGACTTTATAATTGTAATTTAATGGATCGCGGGTCGCGCTCGTGTGGGACCTCTCACCTGTACGATCATAACCTTGGCATTGCGAAAGCCGCTCCGTTTACGCCAACTTGCGTTCGAAGCTCTCGAAGCGACTCGATGCGATCCTCTAAAGCGTGCATATCGTGCGTTGGACGAAATATATCGGAGTCCGTGGCGAAATCTATTTCCGAGTTCGCCTTTCGTACCGGGAGAAAATACGATCTCAATTTGTTTCATTCGCAATAGTGGCGAGAGAGATTTAATTAAAGCGTGATTTCATTTCCCCTACTATTACCATTTTTCGTAACAACAATCTCTCTCTCTCTCTCTCTCTCTCTCTCTCTCTCTCTTTCTCGTTATCACCAGCATGTT